CCATCCTCACATCCAGCCCTGCTGCACTCTGATCCTCAGCTGATCTCAAACACTTTGACTTTACATCAATAATAAAAAGAGAAGCTGCATTTAATACAGATAAGAGCAGAGTGTTTCTTCTGACTGTGGCCTCTCTGTGCTTCCTTTCCTTTTATACAAACCTCAAACAGCTCCTGTAGCTTTGACCACAGCAGTTGTGTGACGTGTTCACATTTCCTGTCCACTGCAAACATGCAGGCTCTCTTTACTAAAACAGAATGAAGATACTCATTTGCATCAGTGTTGATATCCATAGTGTTGTCTTGGCTTCCTGAGGCACAATTTGATGCATAAAGGAGCCATCGCACGCCAGATTTACGCTCTCGCACGTGTGCATTTTTGACCTTTGAAGTGTTTTTTGTGCTTCTTCCTTTCCTGCTGTATTTCGCTACACTTGTCAACCAATGAACATTCAGCAGACGCTGACATCATCAACTTCAAACAGCGTGCAGTCAGGACCTTAGAGGATGCACAAAAGCATGTGTTGGGTGGGTGAAAGTCCCTCCCCCTCTCTGTCCCAATGAAAAGTCTACACAGTCGACACATTTGCAGGACTCTGCTCTCGAAGCTGAATCCTGCTTCTGTGAATCAGCTGCGCTTTGATAGTTTGGAGGGACACATAGTGCCACCTGCTGCAGAGATATTATTAAATAGTGATTAAAAATCTTTAAATAATATCAAACTTAAAACATTAAAATGTAACACTGTTGTAAAAAAGGACAAGATATGAATGCTGTAGAGACTCATTAATCTGATGATGTAGCACACAGAGCAGTAAATTAAACATTTTTATTCCCGTTAACTATTTTATCATTGAGTCCAGTCTCAGTGCTGCTGTTGATTTCTGATGCTCTGAAACTTTAGACTGGATCCATTTAAACCTTAGAGGTTACAGTCCCACAGTCTAAACAAGGAAACATGGAAATCACTGTTTGTTTGGAGATCAAAGTGAAATTAATTTGATTTGATTGATTTGGTTCTGCCAATTTCTGAGCAGAAACTGAGACTCATCAGACCAGGCAATGTTTTTATGCTTGCGTTTTTAAGCTTCTGTTGTCCAATTTTGGAGAACCTAATAACCAGTTTCCTGTTCTTATCTGACAGGTGACACCTGGTGTGGTCTTCAACTGCTTTATGACCTTTACTTCAAGGTTAGACATGTTGTGCATTCAGAGACGCTCTTCTGCATATCTCAGTTGCAATGAGTGGTCTGACCATTGACATCAAGTCATTTTCACCCAGTGAACTTCCACTCACTGGTTATTTTCTATTGTAACTATTCTCTGTAAAACTGTTAATGATCATCAATGACGTCCAGCATCAGTCACATCTGTCACTTTGTTAAGCTGCAGTATTAAATCTAAAAACAGACATGGATCCGTAAACTAAACTAAACTAAACTAAACTAAACTAAACTAAACTAAACTAAACTAAACTAAACTAAACTAAACTAAACTAAACTAAACTAAACATGGTTTTAAGCACAAATGTTAAAACTACATTCTTCCTGTTTCACCACTTACAACATTCATATAACTGCTG